TATATATATATATATATATATATATATATGTATCAAAAAAGCGAAAAAAGGATCAACCTCATATTTCACCCTCTTGGAAACCACTGGTGCCAACCACGCGAGGGTCATTCCATCTTTCTGCTCGCTTTCTACACGTAGACCTGTCACCACATATTGGGTTAAAGGAGCTGTGCGTAAATCCACAACTCGATAGGCAGGTGTTTGAGAAAATTTTGAAACCTAAAACTTGGATAACTAAAGAAATATTGAGAATTCATAGAATTTGGAAACTCAAACTGACACTATTCTTCGCAAATATATTGAAAGAATACTCAGTATCCGGTTTCAAGCCAGACAGTCTGAGTGTCCTTGACATCAGCTTTTTGTCAGCAGGTGTAGCTATAATCTCCGAACAATCCCCACGCGAACATTCCCATTCGTACCATACCTCCTTAAAAGATAGCGTACTACAGATTTAAAAAATTATCCTCATATTAAGGTTCATGAACAAACCCTACGCCCGCCCAATGAAGATGGTTCGTCCCATTCTAGAACTGCTGAGGACTGATCTATATCTTTGACATGTAGATGAGACGGATGGTTTGGTCCCTCTGAAACAGGTGCCTTTCCGTCATGAGCCTGTTTAAAAGAAAAAAAATGAAAATGCTTACGAGTACATATCCTATCGGCGGATTCGTTCTCAGCCCTGTAGAATCCAGGTCGACATGTGCAATGAACACTTGCTGTTGCAGTCGCTTCCGAATTCATCGGACATTTTTGGCAAGATGCATTTCCTCGCTCACTTTTATAGCTTCCCACGGGACACTCTGGAAAGCAATCTCTTCTTAGTACATATCACAATCCTCGTCAAGTTCTCCTCGGATATCCTGACCTTATATTTACGAGCGATTCCCAGCCGCAGCACACATAAGAACCATTAAATACTTTATGACGGTAATTATTTCTGGCACTCGGGTGCAACAACAGACGACGCAAATAACATACGATGGCAACCACCTGCACCATTTCATGGATGGGTGCACACAAGCAATTTTTTTTGTCAAGACATAGTTGTCAAATGAAGACTTTTAGGTTATTCGCTTACTACACGCATCCCTTCAGCTTTCTGCTGCTCATGAATGAAGTTACTAGTCCAACTGAACATCTCCATTCATCAATATAGAGAGAAATTACGGCTGATCTCTTCAAAGGTGATGGATGTACTGCCTGGCACACAAATGCTACTCGCACCCCGACTATTGTTTACGCCACTCCACATCGAGTCATAGGAGACGAAAGAAATCAGCGACCGCTTTCCAAACACAGTAGCAGCTGAC